ACTTTAGCTGTGCAAACATTTCTTTATCCCAACAAGACAATTAAACCCAGCAGCATGAAAGGGAGTATCCGTGACTGTGTTGGGAGTGAACAAACGTTAACAACCACACACATCACAGGAGTTCTTGCCCCGCGGGAGAAGTGGGTGGGAGGAAAACCCAAAACAGCTGAGCGCATCATGGGGCTAGATCTGGGCAGTCAGGACCTGAGCAGTCAAGATACAAGCAAACCTCTGACCCCTCTTTCTGGTCAGTGGCTGACCCTTCACATCGGTCATCTGCTCCAGCTGCAGTCCAGAGGTGGAGCCTGGGAACTAATTTTCCCTGCCCACTCCAACCCTAGAACCCTTGGAAAGTATCCCCTTTATGTCACCCTCTGATGTCAGCTTTCCAAGCTGTCTTTGGCCTAGGTGGACTAGGCTGATTCTTAGGACATAATGTTTTCAATGACACATGCCTTTATAAAGACACATCTAGAGTGCAAAACACTGTCTCCAACCAGGGCTTTTGGAACCTGGAGCTGACTTTCCAAATGTATCAAAGATGACCATCAAGCAAAAGAGACAGGGGTTTCTGGGAGATCTCAGGTTTCCTGCCTACCCGTCCAAGTACCTGAGCACAGGGAAGGTCCAAGGGCAGATGACCAAGCAAAACCACTGATGGGCAGTGCCCAGTCCCCTTTCCTGGGGTGAACGGGAAGGCAGGGCCAGTCACTGCTCCACGTATGTAACTCTGAGTTTTCTCAGGCCTAGGATAAGCATGCATGCTGACCAACTCCAATTTGGTAAGAAGGCTGGTCAAATATTGTCCTCAGGCAAGAATCTGGGCAAAGGGATGGCCTGGAGAGAGCCATCGGGAGATGCACATGGCAGGACGGAGAGCACACAGTGAGAGAGTAATAAATGCAGCCATTCTAGTACCAGGCAGCACGCAGGACTTACCTTCCCTTTTGCTGTAAAGTTTCCTTAATGAGGAATTTTATTTTAAAGGCCCTGGGAAACACATCTATAGACACTTCATATGTAAGACACAACATAGGCTATTCGTAATTGGCCCATAAATTTTCACGTCATTTCCCTGGACAAAGTACCTTGGGGACTGGTTCAGGGAATGACAATAAACGGGAGTTACCTCAGTCCCCTTCCTGGGGAATTCTGAATCCTCCACGATCAGCTTCTCACAAAAACACTTCTCCCATTTTCCAGGGCAAGTAAGTCAGTCGTGCAGAGTAAAGGCTTCCTTGTTCCACAGGGCCCAACACCTACCTTGGCATCACCTGGAAAGCCAGGTGGGCAGAAAGGCGAGCAAACTGGAATCATCCACTAGAAGAGAGGACACTTTACCCAAATAGCTATACTTGTGTCTTTTTTTTCCCTAAGCACATTTAATCACAAAAGAAATCCTGCCTATCAGCACTCCAGTTAAGGGCTAAACACGTGTGCATTACACCATGTCTGCAGGCGTCTTTTTGAAAGGCATGTGGACATATCTGCATATGGATGCAAATCGTGAGTAGGGGGTGGCTGCCACAGTAAAAACCGTCAGTGTTTCCATTATAAAATAAGGACCTAAAACTCAGAAAACTTCTGCACCCAGTAAGGCACATGCACACCCATACTCACCCCCACCCCACCTATCAACAAAACTATATGAGGCTAAATTCCCTTTTAGGACTTTTACTATTATATTTAATTAAAACTTTAAAAAAAAACATTCTATGAAAAAAAGATTTGCCTGACGAGAACTAAAAAAAAAAAAAGCCCACCATCTCAGAAATTAATTATAAATTTTAATAACTGACAAGCCTAAAATATACATGGCTCAATTTGGCAAAGCGGGCACACGCATGGCATCGTGTGCCTATGCTCTTCTGTGCTCTCCACTCTCTTATAGCTCCCCCCCCCCCACTGCCCCATCTGCCCCTGAGCTCTCCCTCCCTTTGGAAGCAGTCTTGTATACTGTCACTCGATTATCAGAGAAATATTACTTATTTCAAAAATGGTTCTGTAGGGAGGACCCGAAAGGCATCTAGTGGGGATAATCAGGCCTTCTAACGGCCCTTAAATATGTATTTACATAAAACAGACCATAAATATTCTGACACACGTCGGTGTGTGACAGGAGCCAAGAAAGCTGCTACCCACTTTGTTGTGGTGTTCTTCTAGCCTTCCTGGAAGAAAATGACTCTCCTCCCTTCCAAAGCTCAGAATCAAAAGCATAGGTGTGGCCCAGTCCAGCCCCTGCAAAGGTAGTTATCCCCTAAGGCAAGGAAGGGGAAGGGAGCACAAATCCAGGGCCACCACTGGAGGACAGTCTCCTCTTCACTTGGTGCCTTTGTTTCTGGTTAAAGATTAGTCATAAATGCAACCCTAATAGTCTGGGTGTGTACAGGACCCTGTATTCACAGACCTTCATACAAGCTTGCTGCCTGGATATGAGAAACAGAACACAAAGTACTCTATAAAGGAAGGGTATTTTAAACAAAAGAAAAGAGGATTCCAATCCATATGACATTTGAAATAAAGAAGTTTCCCACCCTTCTGATCAGAGTCCCATTAATTTCAAGGTCAGGATTCCATTTCACTTTGGGAGACAGACTCATTTAATTTTTCTCCACCCAGGCGTATTCCTGTGTGAGGGATCCATCTCCACGGGGGATGGCACCACCATACAATGCAAACCGGGCAAACAGAAGAGTTATGGCTTTGACACTTGGAGGGGAATGGATAGCCACATCTATGGGTTTTGACTTGACTAACAAGCTTCCTCCTGCTCTGGGAGTCTGACACCAGTTTGGGCTAAAATGATAACAAAATAGAGCCAAGCTGGGAGCGTGGGGCAAGAAGAAAGGAGTCGTGATCTCCAGATGTGTGCTACATACTAGTTTTGAGAGGAGTCCATTTTCAACTTGTACTTGGAGGGAAAAGTGGGGAAGAACTGGTCACACCCTAACTCGGCACAGCTTTAACAGGGGCCAGTTTCCAGGAGCCTCACCACTCAACACATGAAAACTGAAACAAAACAGAAAAACAGGCCAACACAAAGCCAAACACCTGTCCAGAAGGTACATCCAAGAAGCAGGATCAGAGCACACAGTGGTCAACAGAAAGTGAAAAGGTGACAGCCGAAGCGCCAGTGCTTCGTGGCAGTTCTGCTGACATGTAGCTGCAGCCTTCTCCCTGAAGTGGGGAGGTCTCTGGCTTACAGACACTGACATAAAAAGACACACTCTCAACATATTTCAAAACCAAAGAGCGATGGATTTACAAGGCAGGTTGATTTTATGGTGACTTTTATTGAAAAGGTACGCTGGGTGTAGGCAGATGCCTTTTAGCACAGGAAAGTTAACACAGTGCCTAATTCAAGGAGACAGCCTGAGGAAGCAAGGCCGACAGGGGAGAAAGCAGCAATGTCTCTATTACTCTCCTTGGCATCATAAAGAGAAGAGAAAAAAATATGGTGTTCGTGTTGGTGGTTATAGAGAGGATGGGAGCACAAAAAAAAAGAAAGAAAGAAAGAAAGAAAGAAAGAAAGAAAGAAAGAAAGAAAGAAAGAAAAACAGGAAAGGGAGGCAAACCTCAGATGCAGTTTTCTTAAGAAAATAAAATGCAGCAAATCTTAGAACAAAAGGTTGGATGGAAAAACACCCTCAGTTCATAAATTCTCACCAGGCTCGAAGAAAACCATTCTGTCTCCCCACAGCCCCAAAGCTTCAAAACACAATTATTTTTTGATTATATCGGAGCAGAAGATTGCAGGGTTCTGCCCTTCTAGTCTACAAGTTCCCAAGAAAGGTTAAGTTCCAACGATTAGTGAATGTAGCCAAAACCTATCAAGGCATGGGAGAACATGAGAAAAGCCATTTCATAAGCAGAAATTAATAACAGTTGTGAACATCAACCATGGGACAGTCACACGGGTCAGCTAGTCCTAAAAGCTAGCCCCAGGGTAAGTGTCCAGCAAACCTGTCAAATCCCAAGAGAAGTCAGCTTTCCAGCCTTGTGATCGGAAGGAAAACACAGCTGTTTGAAATGCTTTATGGTGACTGATGACACCTTTGTCCTTCTGTGAAAAATAACCTGATGCAGACAAGAACTAAGAGTTGAGGAAACAGAATCACGTGGGGTCTGCTGGCTAACATACAGTGGAAAAATGGAAAGAATAACACTACCATCGGGGACCCACATGAAGAGAGCAAAGAGAGGTGGGATGGACAACTTTCCTTGGGCCCCCAATTCCCTAGAAACCTGTATATCTATGACATGGTCTCCAGAGAAGCCAGCCAGGCCTGTTAGTGAGACCAGCTTGCCTCTAGCTACCACCAGAAAACCTGAAAGAACTATATCATTGATCATTGAGGAGAGATAAGTAAGCATTAGCCATCACAACTATCACAAGGGACGCAATTGGCCTTTCCAGGCGCTAGGAGCATGTGCAATGCTGCCAACCTGTTGAATACTTCTGCAAGGCAGGGCTTACTGGAGGTGGAGAGGGGGCTCCAACCAAAGTACTTACATCTGTCATTCCGATCCTCTGGGCTCGAGGATGTTTCCCGGTCAGAGATGAGGCCAGACACAGCAAAGATCTTCTTCCCGGTGTCATCAACCTTAAGTGAACCGGGGGAACTGGATGGCAGCTGTGTCCCAAAGTCATATTCCTTGCCATCTGCATCTGAGAAGCGCAGGTGGGGAGACTCTGTGTCATGGCAGTTCTTGAGTCTCTTGGCTGGCGTAAAGGCTGACTGATAGCTCTCCCGGTCCTCCGTGGAAGCAAAGGGACGGAATGCCCCCACACCACTGTGGTTTAGCATACTGATTGGGGTGCAATCTAGATTGGGGGGAGCAAACTGAGGGTGTAGGTGTAGTAAAGAAGGGGGGAAATCACGATTGGCAAAAGTGCCCGGCACCCCACCTTGCCGATGGTACATAGAGGCAAAGGTGTAGGAGCCATTAGTAAAGGGAATATGAACGTCCTTGTCTACTGAGACAGGCACACCAAAGGGTCGTGGCTGCTGACAAGGGATAGAGGCATCCCGGCTGGCCTCAGCAGTGGATGCCAAGACCATCAGCGCTGGGGATGCCAAAGGGTTGGGAAGATAGGATGAGTTCTCCATCTTGAAGGCTGCCCGGTGTAAGTCCATCGGGGTCTCTTTGGATGGTCGGTGTCACACAAGAAGTATTCCCTGGGAGGGAGGCCGACCTGCACCTTGGATCAGGGTGAGGATTATTACTGTGGAATCATGCCCTTCGAAGACCTGCAGAAACAGCAAAGAGGGAAAAAAGAGGGGGGACGAAAGTCAGGGGGAGGTAAAAAAGGGAAACCCCAAGTGATTGAAACACCATCCTTCTGGCTTACAGATTCTCGGGCAAGAGACACCACAGGCTTTAGGAGCCAGTGGGCAGCAGCAGCAGACCGTTTTCATTCAGGAAAATCAATAGACAACTTACTGTGATGTACGCGTAGCTGACTTTGGTCCCTACACGTTCCGGGTGAAATGCGCCTGAGCCCAGCAAAGAAAAAAAAATCATAAAACCTCCAAATACAATATTCCCTGAGCAAATGAGCTTTGGAAGGCCAAGTCACCTAGTAGATTAGGTGTGGGGGGGGGGTCTATATTTTAAAGGGCTTCCAACTGCAAACACCACTCGTGGCAGGCTTGAGGTTCAGAGACCAGGCTCTACCTATATGATGCCCCATCTTACTGTCTTTCTTCATCCTTATACTGACAGAGCCTTATGTCACACACATCTAGACCACGGACATCTGCACATATTAGTTGGTACAGATTGTACATGTGGCTAAATCACACACATTGGCCACTACATACACATACACCTTCATGTATCACCCGAGACTGTCTCTAGAAATAAGTGCCACGTGAACAAACAGCTGACATATTATTTCTGATGCACAACCCCACTCTAATCACATGGGCTTCCTATTTCTTTCTTCTAAGAAGAAGCAACACCATCATCAACAAAATGCCTGGCACCTCTGACGACTTTTAAAAACATAACTGGTGCCTTTGGCACATGCTGTCTTCCAGGGGAGCAAAAACCGGATTAGTAATTCTGGTTACTAATGCAGTCACGCTTAAGGAAATTGGTAAACTGCCTTGGATTTACCATTAACATTTAGAGCAAAATGTTAACAAAATTTCTGACTTATTTTGTTCAGTTTATTGGCCCAGGCTTAGTTGATGTCCAATAAATGCCCCCGCCCCCCCCCAAACAAACTGGATTTCAGAGAGCCCTCTTTCAGCTTCCCTTATAAAATTAGGTTGTAGATTTTCATAGCCACTGATTTGGTTCAATATACTAAGTGGGGGTTAAGGGAGAAGAACTGTATATCAAAAGGCAGGGTAATATCAGATGAATAGCAGAACCTGCTAGCTTCAAATCTGTATTCTCAGTGGAAACTGCACAGACTTAAAAGTATAATCCAAACTACCATCTGTTACAAATTATAAATTGAGAGTCATGTCAAAAATAAAACTGGTTCCCTCCCTTTAAGAAGCCCACCTCTGTAGTGAAACATCTTTGGTATTCCCTCAAGTAGAAAACCCTCAGTTAAACTGCCGATGGTCTCCCTTGCTTAATGCAGTGCAAGGAGAGTATTTCCTTCTCCCATCCTGTAGCAGACACGTCAATGACTGTTATTAATTGGGAAGATGAGTGGACACCATCAGCCTGCTTCCTCATTTGGCATCTCTCCTTATAGACATCATTGCTAAATTACCAGATTATGTATCTCACATTAACGGATTTTTCTCTCTTCCAAATTTTAAATAACTTTCCTGTCAAGTTCTAGCAGGGTAGGGAATGGTCTGCCAAGGACAGCCAGTTAGCCTGACGTGTCTGGGAATTCTGTTCTTGGCTGTTATCTAGTCAGATTAATGGTCCCACAACATGGATGCTCTGAAAGGGGGTCCAGGGATGTTTAAGGGGTCTACGGAGTGCTTCACAACAGAAATGAATAACTGTGTGTCTATCAAACCACACACAGTACATGAAGCTTGCTGGAGGAAAGGACAGACATAACACCCCAGGGGTGAGGGGAGGAATGGTTCTTTCCCAAAATAACCCGCCCCAGGATTCACTTTCCATTTTTACTTCCTAGATCACCTCATTATGTTAAATGAGTTTCATAAATTAGTGATCTGGCGACAGCACCGGACACTCCAATAGAATGTGGTGAATCACTCAAACCTGAGTATTCATTTGAAAACTTCATTATACTGAAAATAAATCAACAATATTTTCCCAGGCCACATCTCCTCTACTTCACTGTGTGGGCGTTGGTCTCTGCAAGGGAGGAGGGGCATTTTTTCTTTTCTCTTTCTTTTCCCCCTCCTCACATTAACAGTATAGATGAGGCTTCAGCAGACCACAGTCATTATGAAAATCTATAGTTAATACACTCCCAATGTCAAAATGTCATGGGTTTAAACACAGAACCCAAAATAAGAAAACTAACTGACCCTCTTAATTAAAAAAATATGGATTGTAAGATAATCAGCTTGATGGTGCATTTGGGTGGCTGTGAAGAACTGGGCAGAGAGAAAGTAAGTAACTGGTACTTTTCTGCCTCTATGCTGATTTTTTTTAATTTAGCACTTCGTGCAAATCCAGATTAAAATAACTCCAGCTATTGATCTGAGCAGTGGAATTGACATTAATTTTAGTTCACTTCTCACTTTGCAAAGGGATCAATAGGAAGTAATAACAGCTGACATCCCCGCTGAAAGGAGGAGAAAGAAGGGCTGAAGACAGAAATCGAAAAGCAACCAAATAAATCATCAGCTACTTTTCCACGGCATCAGACAAACTCCAAACAGATTGCAAAAAGTCTTTGTTGAATTAACTAAACAAGGAGGAGGGATCAATCCACGAAGCTAAATAAATTGTCCGGCAGGCAGTGAGGTTGGACAGAGGGACCAACAAATATCGAGTTTTTAAATTTTCAAATCTTTGACGTGGTTTGATTCAGTTCTGTACGTATGGGAGTTTGTTTGTTCCGTACACCCGACCTTGGTTTAAAGTGGTTACAAAGCGTCGGCTAACTGAATAATTAGTGAGATTACTAATTGCGTGGTTAAACGTGCCAGAACCAAGACAAATGAAGAAGCTGGCTTTTAGAATGTGCAATTATCTGAGACTGGACTGGTGCGTTGCGGTTCGCGCTCTCGGATGCAAACTAGCCACTCTGGTGTGGAAAAACCGAAAGCCAAGACAGAAAGTCCCAGTCAGTGAGCTGTCTTCCACTCCTGCCTAGGGTCGGAGCCTCTTCACCCGCTCCGGGGATGGTAGCGCAAAGAAGCGGTGTCGCTGCTCCTGCTGGCTGTTGAGAGCCAAACCCACTTGGAAATGACTGCCACAAAGCAAGCTCTTTCCCAGAGCTGAGCTCGGGGCGCCCACCAAACTAGGACTCTGCTGGCAATTAAAATGCACACGCAACGCGCCTCTGCTTATTACAACAGGTGACATTTTTGTGGTCTCTGAACCGTTTCCAAAAGCCATGACTTAAAATAATAGAACAAATTAAACGATATTTTTCCTTTGCATAAATAAACTTTTAAAAAATTAACAGGCAACTTAAAAAGCAAAGAACAATGGGAAATGAGGCCAGAATAGCGGGGGGTTGTGAAGAATGGAGGAAAGAATTTTTTTTTTAAGTTCTCAGACTTCGCTTGAAGAGAATTCCCCCCCACCCCCGCACACCAAATGCCCAGCGGGTATGTGGAAACACCGCCCTAACAGAAAATTTATCACCATGTGCGAGAGCTCAGGGAGCATAAGGCTAACACGGCTCCCAGCCTAGGGCCGACGCCTGCTATTCAGACTCGGCCGGGTAACCCGTGGCACGTTTAGATCGAGACCCAGGTCCTGCTTGGCCATCGGATGCGAATCCGCGACAGCCCGACCGATCCGAGAGCAAGCGGAAGCGGGATGCTGAGCGTGCGGTGCAAATTTCATCCACGAAGAGTCTTAACCCAGGGGTAAAAATACCTCTTTTGGGGAAAACGAGGAAACAAGAGGAGAAAGAGAAACCTCTATAAACTTGGGGTCAACTCTGAGCCAAACCCACCACTTGGTGGTCTGACCCTTATTGCTCTTGCCTGTCTTTGTGCAAAGACCCCAACACCCTCCGCTCGAAACAGTTTAACTTTGGGGAACCAAGGCGCCAGTCCGGGAAGAAACACAAGCCGGGACCCAGGTCTGAAAGCGCACACTGCCTAGGGGCAGGCGCTGGAAGCAGCCTGCTTTGGACCAAAGTCCAAGGACCCGGAGCCCCTAAACCGCCCCGCCCCGCGGGTCACCCGCGCGCCCCTTGAGCCGGCAGCCACTGACTCCTCCACTCCGCTCCGCTCCGAATGAGGGCGGGTGCGGGGCCGCAAGGCCCTCGCGGTTCCCGCACTACGGGCATGGGGTAGGGGCTCAGCGGCTCCCCCAGCTACCGCCCGGCCGCAAAACCCCGCGTGGCTGGAGAACAGGTGTGTCCCGGCTCGCTCTGCGCGGTCCCCGGTGGAGCATCTCTACCAAGTCCTCGGCCTTCCCCCTCCTCGCCCGGAGCGCAGCGAGAGAACTCACGCCACTTAGCCCCGAGCTCTGCCGGCCAGGAGGGATCCGAACGGGAAACGCCCGCCTCGGTCTTTCTCGACGCTCTTTCTGCCTTTGCCCCTTCGCTCATTTTCCCTTTGCGAGAAAAGCCGGGGTAGGAGGGGGTCGGGGTGATGCAGCCCGCTCGGCTCCTCGCAGGCTTACTTGCCGCTTCCTCCCTGCTCGCCCCCTTCTCTCTTTATCCCCCCCCCAAAAAAAAGAAACCCAATTGCCTCTTCAAGCCGAGGCCACAGCGGAGGCGGGAGGTAGGTCGTGGCTGCAGGACATCGTGAGCAGAGAGCGCGGGTGCTTTCCCTTTCAGCTGTTTCTGGAGTAGCGACAGGGCACAGGCGGGAGACAGGGGAGGACTGAGGCCACCCAGACAGGGCCGCGCCCCATCC